TGGTTGTACTAGCGCGAATGCATACGCCATGACCAAAGTGCTGAGCCTTGTTCAAATTCATGACCACTCCAGATTATGCGTTCTCCCCCCCCCAGAAACCGTAGCTAAATAAAAGCTAAATCCTTCTTACAGAGAAAGACATATTTTATTTGTAATATTCATCAACGTCCATTCAGAATTTCCGATCTAAAGTACGTTTGAATTGTGACTGCAAAAATCTGAGGTGGGAGAGAACAACTTACACTAGTCAAGTGAGATTAGCTTGATAGCTATCCTGATATTGTAGTTGCCTCGGAACCGTATTTTATACTTATTTAAGCATGATACACACTTAGGCGATCATGTATCTTTCGATGACATGACTGACGAGGCAGATTGTTTTCCGTAGTATATTGCCATTTCTTTCTGTGGTAGACCAGTTGCCATCCAAGGCTATAGAATCCGGTCTGTCCTGCTATTTACCCATAGCTGGTGGTGGGGGGAGAAGCGGAGGATTCATACCTTTCCAAAGGGTATTAGCATGTAAATAAATGTAATGGATTCGACTGAAATTCAAACTCGTCTCTCCGATTCCTCAATCCAAGCCACTATCCTTTACTCCACAAGAGTATTTCCAAATAATAAAAACATCACCCGAAAACTTCCAATAGCGGCAACAACTAAATTGGGTAGCGCATATAACTAGAAGGAAAAATATTGATACTTTCAAGATGCTGACTTTCCCCACTACCTTAAACAAAAGATTTGGAAGGAAACTATCATCAATATTAAAAACCGACTAATTTCATGAATAATGTTTTGAGAAAGAATTTTATAAATTATAACTGACAGCAACGCTAACTGTTCGGTCAATAAATGCTGAATATTTTATAAAAGAATCAAAAAAAAATAAGAAGGATGATTCTAGAGATAAATAGTTCGGCGCCTTTCACTTCGTTGACAGCAAGATGATCAAATTTCAAATCTAAATTGTTTGTCTATTTAAAATGCTACATTTATTAGAAAATAAAGGGTGTCCCAATAACTTGCCAAATAACAAAAACGACATCAGCCGAAAACTTCCAACAGCGGCAACAACTAAATTGGGTAGTTCATTTAACTAGAAGGAAAAATATTGATGCTTTCAAGATGTTGACTTTCGCCACTACCTTAAACAAGATTTGGAAGGAAACTATTATCAGTATTAAAAACCGGCTAATTTCCTGAAAATTTTTTTAAGAAAAGTATTTTATAAATTTCAACTGCGCATTTAAATTCAATGGCAGATCTAAAAGAATATTTTTACAATTTTTTTAAAAATATTTAAAAATGATTCTATTTATTATCGAATAATTTCCGAAAAGTTCAATAAAATCTTATAATGATCTGATTTTTTAAGGTTTAAATTTTTTCCCCAATTTTATTGCTCGTTCAAAGATAGGGGTTGTCCAAACTAAGTAGGAGAGGAATGTATTATTCCAATATCTTATTTCAAACTTAGCGAAACTGTGTATGTGTATGCGTATGTGCTTGTATATATACATATTAAAAGGTGCACACACGCACAACACGGACATACGCATATACAGTACATACGCGCATGCGCAGATGCAGACAATGTGTGATGAACAGAGAATCAGCTCTTCATTTATAATATGGATTTCGAATTCAGTAAGGGTTATAAGGTACAAGATGACAATCTACGTTTTATTATTGTAATGTGTCTTAATGATCAATTTGTTAATTACTTCAGCCATAGTCAGTGCACTAAAAGCGTTCCTTAAATCAGTGACGAAGGAAGTGAAAAAGAGAATAACAGAAAATGATACGATGTCTGTCCGTTGTCTTTTGTGGCATTGACAAAGTCGAACTCCCAACGAGATAAGCGTAGTGCTAATTTTCTCCGTTCTTTTATCTACTTTTCCCCTAATTTTGACATTGAGCTAACAAAAGAGAACATGTGGCTGTCGGGAAGGGGGTTTAAAATCGTCTCCAGCCGAAAACGTATCAAATTGGCGGTTTGTCATATTATAGTGATCAGGCGCTCCTGAAATAGAAGGCCTTCGTTGAAGCAAGCATTTCCTGTCGATATATGCGTCACGGAGTTGAGATTATTCTGCCATAACTGTTTTCTGATTGGTCTCCTTTGTTCAACATTGAAGTGTTAATGAACAGAATCCAATCAAAGCTTTTATCCTGTAGCCAACAATTATACAGAGAACACATCGGACTACGGAATAGTTGTTTTATAGCGGGATTTCGAGGTCAGATTGACAGCGTTAAGTGCATTGTTAGCCGCAAATTAACATTTGTCATTTGTGAGTGTGTTAAAAGGGAAAATAAATAGGCTTTTGAAAGGAAGAATAAAAAAGAAAAGAAAAAACTATGAAAAGAAAGAGATTTTTTTGAAATGGAACAGCAAAACGAAAGAAAGAAAGAAAGAAAGAAAGAAAGAAAGAAAGAAAGAAAGAAAGAAAGAAAGAAAAGTAGGATCAAGCCAAACGTGGATTTTTGTCGCCATATCTGGCTGATACTCGCCGTCCACTCGTGGAAAACCGATGATTTATTTTCCACCTTGCAACTTCTTTCCTTTCTCCCGAAAAGTTGCTAGCCTCTCTCTACTCTATCGCAGATGTTCAAGCGAACTACATTCCTTAGTTCCACCAATACAAATTCTCACAGCTAGGAGGCACCATGCCACGTTCATGGCGTCAGTATTCACCTTCGTAAGGAGAAATTCCACTCAGATAATTTCTTCTCTAGACATGTCACTTCGGGAAACAGAATCCAGAGAAAATGCTTCCCCGACCACCACAATCTTAAATCTAGAGGTATCCATTAACTATCTAACATATCATAATATACACTTGTTACCTGATTGTGTAAAAAAAAAAGTTAATATTATTCCGAAGGTGATTTACTAAACTAAATATTAAGAGATCCAGATATTTTTTATCAGGGTGTATCAAAAGTATTTAGTATTATGCCAGGATAGACATTGCAGTCAAATTTTATACATGATCGTCAAAGGAAGCTAGGTGCAAGGTTGACCTGAGGGTACTCCGGTCCATCGAATACGACCTCATACCTGCATCTGGTTTTGAAAGCGTAGGAAACGAAAATGGTGGACAGATGGGAATATAAAAAAAAAACAAATAAATAAAACACATCATAGATAATTGCGAGCAGTGCTTCATACACCACAAACGGAGAATGTAATGTCTTTTGAACAGGAACAGGAACAGGGGTTGTCCATTGTTTCCTGTTTAAAAGTGGATTTCCGGTTCCTTCTAAAGTCTACTTCAACTCCATACTTCTAACGTCTCCACCTAAATTCTGAATTTTTATTTACTGTTATTTAATTAATTTTTTTTATAAATAAGAGTAGATAGGTTCGTTTATCATCCGGTTCATTCGCCATCTTGTTCTTTTGAACAGAAGTAGAAGTTGATTCATTGTCTCCTGTTTAGGAATGGGTTTCAAGTTCCTTCTAAAGTTTAATTCAATTCTATACTTCTAATGCCTCTGCCTAAACTCTGAAATTTTATTTACTGCATTTTTTTTTTTTTTTTTGAGATAGAAGTAAATAGGTTTGGTTATCGTCCAGTTTACACCCGTCCCCGGTCTCTTGAACACGAGAAGAGGTTTATTCCTTGTTTCCTGTTTAGGATTGGATTTCTGGTTTTCAATTTTAGTCTTTTCATACTTTTTCCACTCCAGTTAGCCCATGTGTCTTAGTGGCATTATTGCCTTACTTGGGGTGAATTGATTAAAAAAAAAAGGATAAATGAAAAAAATATACAAAATTATTTAAATATGTAAATATGGTCTTTTGTAGAATTCATTTTTATTAGTACTAAAACATTACGAGAATTTCTATTACAACTTACTTTTCTTTATAAGACGGGTGTTCGGCTAGTTTTTTTTAAATTACGTCATAAAAATTTAATAGTGAAAAGAAAACATAACCAATTTACAATAAAATTTTACTTTAATTGTTAATAATATTGTCTCCTTCACGCCCTCTCTTTCTCTCTCTCTCTCCATATATATATATATATATATATATATATATATATATATATATATATATATATATATGTAGTTGCATAAAACATTTTAGATGCATCAAGGGTGGTCTTCAGTGATGTTCTTCACCGCCGATTTCAGGTTTTGCATCAAATTGGTAACCCGGACCTGATTTCGGACGAGTCAGTACAACACCTTGAAAACGTCGTGTGACGCATCTCGACAGTGCAAAAATAAATAAATAAATAAATAAAAAATTCTGACATGGCTAGGAGTCCGAGCGTTCTTACTGACAAGTATATCAACGTCATCCAATGAAATAAAGGTTTTCACCCATCCCCTCCTATATATTGGTGTTTTTTACTTCATCCGGTTTCGATTCGAGCTACTCCTCCTGGAGGTATATATATATATATATATATATATATATATATATATATATATATATATATACATGGTTATACAAAAAGAAAGAGCAGTTTTCGAAAATTTAATAAAAATAAATATTAAGAGACAGAAACACTTTTAACACATTTCAAGATATGAAACGGTTAAAAGTCATTAAAATACATGAACATTTTTTCAATATTGTTTAAATTGTTCTTTTGTTGTTTTTTTTCAGATTTTTTACACATCTAAATTGTTATCATTTGTGTCAACCCTTAAAATGGTACACCACCAGAAAAAGTGTTTTGTGTACTGCGATTTTTATCTGTGGGAACATATAAAAGAAAGTGTGGTCGTTCCACCTATGTCTGCTGCTCTTGAAGATTTGAGACATCGAATTGTTGAAGCAGTGAAATCAATATCCACAGACCAATTAATGCGATAATTTGTGGCAAGAAGTGGAATACCGTTTCAATGTTTGTCGCATAACACATGATGCTCATGTTGAGTGCATAACAACCTTAAAATAAAAATAAAAACTTTGACCCTTTTCCTACCCAATAATGTGTTGAATATGTTTCTGTCTCTTAACATCTGTTTTCATTAAATTTTCGAAATCTGTTCTTTCTTTTTAAATAACCCTGTATATGAGAGAGTGACTTATTTGTTACTAGCTTCCGAGCCTACTATTTTACCAACTGAGCCACGCGTCCAGACTCAAAGAAATAAATATTCCGGTTTCTAGAATAGTAAATATTCATGTTTCATGTTTTCTGCTGATAATCCTTAAAGCTATTCACCTTCCTCCCTACGGAGTCAGGATATGATACTGTCGGAGTTAGCTCCTCCTTAATTCCCAAATTGTCACTAGGGGTCACTCTCCCTATACTATAAATACTGGGAGACTTCTTGCCTTGTTCTCTTTTCCTTCAGGCCTCGTGCCGCATCCCACCTCGCGTGGAGGTGAGGTAAATCCTCTTTTTCATTTCTTCATTTCAGCGACTACAATGTAAGCTCTCTTAAAAGATTCGCGTCTTCCCATTTGTGGGGGACGCCATGAACATTATACACACATACACGTACGTACGAACATTCGCCAAAGAACAGACAAAAACGTTTACAGACACACAAATAAATGTTATTGTCCATTGTAAAATCGTTTTGTTTAATACATATATTTGTTTATATATATATATATATATATATATATATAGATATATAGATAGATAGATAGATAGATAGATAGATAGATATATAGATATATATATCGATTTTGTTTGTCTTCTTTTCATCTTCAGTTAGACTTAATTTGAATCCAGCAATTTTCTTGTAGTTGGACCTTTTAATATTCTCTCAGGAGTTACACACGTGTTTCTAAAACAACAACACACAAACCCACACGCTCTTCTACAATACGTTTAGGATAGAGTGCCATAGGTGGACAAAGGATAACAATTGTTCGGCAAACATAGACAAACGTGCCTTCAATAATACGTAGTGTCAAAAGGACAGTTTTTCCCCATGACACCGCTTTTTAACTAACTTAAATACGAACAATGTTTATTGTTTTAAAATGCGACGATTATAATTGGAATAAAAACCTATGATGAAAATGAATTTATCCATTTTCTTTGTTCTTGAGAACTGACAACAAAAATAATAATAAACACTATTTATTTATTATATTATTTATTGGAATGGATGGTAAAACATCGGCTTGTTGGGATTGCTATGAGTTTGAATTTGTTATCAGAAGGTTTTTATATTAAGATGGTTAGTTTACGGGCATGTTCACAACATTAATCCACAACAATATAGAATAGAGACATTCAAAAACGAATCAATCACAAGGCAATTGAGTAAGGAACACCGATTATGAGATTTCAATAAAACAACATGCATTTATGTACAGTTAATATACAATTTGAAAATTTGTAGTTTGATAATGCAAGAAATTGACCATTGGTAAATTGGGCCTCTTATTGATTTACAGTTCGAAATTGTTCAAGTGTTTAAGAACTGGTCAAACAGAGTTAAGTGGAAAATATACAGAAATTTGTGTAGTTTGTATGCGTGTAGTTTGATAAAGCAAACTTTTCTAAGACACGAAAGATAAAAATTTGACGGATGGCATGATGAAGTGACACGGTACATAGAAGAATTTATAATTGTTGTCATTATGGTTACTCTCAGATGATGATTCTTTTATTATTTTAAAACATTTTCGAAGACTTTATTTTTAAAATCCATCAATATTTTCCTACCTATCTAAAAAGGAGATTTATACTATTACCCTTCCCGCCTTTCATACATACAAAAACCGAGAGAGACAGAAGAAATTTGTTATTGTTTTGTTAGAACGCTCCATCCGTTCACTTGCACTTAGAAAATAAGAAAATACATCGTTCTTCGTGACCTGACATCGGAGATGAAAATAACAGCTAACGAACCTAGCATTAAAGCCATCTAAAGCACAACTTAAACTATAATTTTGTTTGTATGTAAGATTTCGTACTCCTGCTGATTTGTCCGCAATGAACTGACACACTGACTTTTTAATAGATTCTGTGCTTCAGCTCAATGGTGAGAAAAGATGCTCGGCGGTTGAAAGCTACTAATCGAATTTTTCTAAATATTTATCCAGGTTACCTTACTCTGACACAAAACCAACAAACAAGAAATACCTAGTGAGAATTGGACTCACTGCTTGCTAGTAATGGTATGCTAGATTAGTTCGCTAGCCATTTACGCTATATGTGTTGAGATCAATAGAAACTCATTACTCAACTACTAAAAAGAAAATGTATTCTAAGCCATGTCAACATGCGTCTCATCTAATGCAGTTTCGTTCAAGACTATATATTTTATAATTAATAAACATCTATAATTCCGAATAAATATGTATATAAAAACAGTTATGCAAACGTTTATATATAAGAAATAAAAAAAAAACCAGCAGTATATGAGGGGAGCGTGAAAAGCCTTTTATTTATTGGCTCACGATGACGGACATATTTCAATATGAACGGTCGGACACCTTGCTATGTCGATAGGATTTTCATTTTTGCAATGTCGACGCTTTCGTGACTCGTCCGGTGGCAGGTC